TTTCAGAGACATAAATGAACATTAGGCTGTTGGATTGTTTTAGTAGACATGATAGTTATTCTGATGTGTATCTTTGCTACTTTATTTAGTTACTATATTTTATGCTTGGAGTCTTATAATTAATGTCTGTTTTCCTGTCTACATATCAATGCCCAGTTGTTAAATGCATCCAGCCAAGTGTGTGTAAGAACTATATTTCAATGCATGTGTATAGACATGCTTAAGTTTTCATAGAAGTTACTTAGCAAAGAAAAGGCTTTCATAAAAGACCCTGGTGCTCCACAGAATAATAGTCAATATTTGGGGCATGCCGAACTAGTTCCACCTTGTGCTTTCATTTGTCAAGCAAAGTGATTATGACTCTCTCACAACATTCATGGCTTGTAGTACATGTGTCTGGTTTTGGCAATCGTGTGGTGGCTTTTCTCATAACTGTGTTCTCCAGTATGTCACTTCATATATTTCATGTCGGGTTTATGTCTCTTGTTGGGTATACCATGACTCCTATATCTCATTGGGTATTTACTTTGTGCCCATATACTGGGTACCCTGCTCAGCCTGAGTGACTCAGGTGAATATGAGTCGACCCGCCTGAGCTTTCTTTAAGTTTGGTGGATCATTAAAAGACACCTTTGATCGATCATATCTACCATATAATGCATTGAATAGGTGAAGAATCAAGATCTCTAAGAGGTTTCAAGAAATGGTGTTGTACAGCCACGGAAGGACTTGGAAAAGTCGTGTGTCCACTTAGGTCACATAATGTCGAGTTAGGTCGCACAATGTCTGATATTAATAAATGATAAAGTGTAAACGTACAACAGTACTCCTACAATATTACAAGAGTATCCTTTCATGATGTTTACATTTATTGAACGATCACAAGAATCAGAAAAAATACAACAAAATTACAATAACAATTAACAACATTTCAATAACCAAACTACCATTCTGCATACGCTTCCCTTGACACGGATACGGGTGATTAATTAGCATTAGTTTGTGCGGAAGGAGATCATGGCACTTGCTGGGCATGGTCTTGGTGAAGATATCAACTACTTGGTCAATTGAAGGAATACATGGATGAAGTAGTTCACCCTTTTGAAATTGTTCACAAACTAAATGACGGTCAACTTCAATATATTTGGTCCTTAAAACTGGTTTATTAGCCATCTTGATAGCACTGATATTATTACTATATCGTGGAGATGAGGCACTAATTGATGCCCATATCACTTTATAGATCGTCTATGCCAAACCACATAACTGCTGGTAGAAAACATAGCCTTATGCTTTGATTCTGATGTGGACTTGTTTTGCTGATTAGAAAACGTAGCCACTGCTGGTAGAAAACATATGCCATATGCTTGTGATTTAGAAACCCATTTGTAACTTGTGCAGAACCGTTTTTTTCAACTTGTGTTATTTCTCTCTATAGAAAAGAGGCGACTCTGGTGCTTTAAATATTACCGTGGTGCATTTGTATCCACAAGATTGTTTCATCAATGCTCTATTTCCTTGTATCCTAGGGATAAATTTACCTAGTAGAACTTAGATGCACACTGATTCATATCAGTAAGGGGCAAATATTGTCTTGGAGCGGTCTATTCGTGCCAGGAAACAAGAAGATTGTAATTCCTGTTTTGGTTCATAAGAAAAGATTTTATGACTATCATTTTATTGCCCCATTTCACCTACCATTTTCAACAGATAGCAAATAATTCGTTGTGCAGCAGTGTAGTGTTGATGAGGGGGATTTGGGACAATTTGACTAACAACATTGACGACATGGGTAATACATTGTCGAGTCACTGTGAGGTATCCAGGACTCCCAACAAGGCACTGATAGGTAGAAGAATAAGACAATTTATCATTGTCATTATTAGAATACTTCACATTAAACTATAATGGAGTATCCACAATCTTTGAATCTGTAAGATGGGCAAGTTGTACAAGTCACCTTCAGAGTTCAAATACACACTGTGAGAGGCTAATATGACTGCTGGTTCTCTTGCCAAGGAAGGCACCAGGGGCGGGACAAATTGAGTTGTATCCTGCACCTTTTTTTAGTGCTGCACGCTAGGGATACCACCCCCACCTTTTTTCTAGTGATAGGTCCTTTTTTCCCACCTCTCTGACTTCTTACATGTATTGAACAATACCCGGCTTGTAGGCTGCCCATTTCTTGCTCCTTAATGGACCACTGGGTTGGTTGTGGGTTGACATTTTGTATCGATGTACAAGGTTCTTATATGTATTAGAGTTGATTGTTTCAAAAGAAAGAACAAAACTGGGGAAGTTGTATATGATCTTGGTTATATTTATGCTGTCCAATCTGATAGCCTTGTGGAGTATAATAAGATTCTAGCCCCTAAAAATATTCAAAATGACCAGTGTCCTTCATTTTTAAACCCATTGGGGAGAACCTCCTTTAATGTTGAAACTCCAGCGTTTAAAATGAAGGACACTCCTCTGCATGGCTTGCCTTCAACGCAAGTCTTCAGTTGCATATTTATAAGACATAGAAGTGGGAGAAATATCTGTGGAAGCTACACATGAACCACAATTGTTGGGATCTCCTAACCTAAGTGGCAATCTTGCTCCAGAATCTCACCTCAGAGCTCTGGGAGATGGATCTTCAAGGGATCAGAATTTTAAATATTTGGGATCTCAATACCCACTTTTAGGGATCTTGGTCCCACCTTTATTTATTGCTGGCTAGCAATGCAACTAATGTAGGCCTATTTATTGCTTGCTGACTATAAATGAAGGGATCCATGCATTAAAAAGTATATATAGCCTTAAAACTTTATATAATTTGTAAGGTTAAGGTTAGGTGCAAGATCCCAAAGGTTTAAATCGAGATCCCTAATTTTTGGGGAACTCGATCCTTGATATGTGGCTTGTACCAACGGTGCTCCCAACTGTAGGGATCTTCTATGCTTTGTTGATTCCCCTCTCCCATTCCCAACAACTATGATATGAATGATGTGTGTACATGAGCCGTTTTGGAGGATGAGAAATACAAGATCAATGACATACAACTAAAGTAGAAGATTTGTTCAAAGTGGATACGTGGGGTAGATCTAACAATGATGAAGGGTAAATGGAGACCCGTAGATGGGACATCACTAGTATCTGACATTGGTGAAGTCAGACGGCACGCAAATGGGAGAATTCTTTCGTTTTTGAAATAGTTTTGGAGAGGCTGCATATGGCTGGGTATCAATGGATGGGGACCATAGTTATCGGGATCTCCTACTTTGGTAGGCGATCCCTTCTAGGATCTTGATTCTATCGCTCCCGGAATAGATCTCTTAGGGATCTCGATTTTTAAATTTTGGGATCTCGAACCCCACTGATAGAGATCCCGATTCCTGCGGTCAGGGATCTGGATCCCAACCTTAAGGACCAAGACAACAACCAAACTAATGATTTTCTTTGTTTATGGCCAACTAGCAACACAACTATTGCTTGCTTGCTATCAATAATAAGATCCCTACTTTAAAGAGTTTACATAATCCTAGATTATCATACACTGTAAGGTTGGTAATATAATCCCCAAAAAATTGGGATCAAGATCCCGAAAGGTTGGAAACTTGATCCTTAACATTTGGGGATCTCGATCCCTAACATGTGCATTGTACGGATCGCGTTTCCAACTATAGGGATCTTCTAGCATTTCACGATCCCTTGCTACCGATCCTGATCCCGATCCCAACAACTATAATGGGCACAAAGGAGCAGAAAATTCCAACAAAATAAGGGTGTTATCTGAGGATGGGCAGATTTGTGTAGATTGGAAATAACGCATGATAAAAAGAATGCAGCCTTTGGTTCTAGTTTATCACACTCATTATTAGGGAGAAGAGTAGCAAACGTAACCAAAAACTCTAAGGTGATCATATTTATGTCTTCACTTAAACAAGTGCTCAAACTGGACCATGCCATCTAAAGTTTCTTTAGGCGCTCTGTTAATCAAATAAATACTCGTATGACTTGCTTCAACAGAATATACCTTAGGCACCTGAGGTTGATGCCTCAGTGCTCTGCAGGTCTCCCTGATGTAGCAGATTCTTTGCTTTGTGACACCATTTTGTTCTGGGTAAGAGGGCAGGACCTCTGTTGTAAGATTCCATGATCCAATAAGAACTGTTGAAACTGCTGTGAGAGAAAATGTTTTTCAATCATGGTATGAAATTGTTTAAGCACATAAAATTTCAAAGGTTGATCTCAAGAAATAATCCAATCTTTATCTCATCCAATTATTAACAAACAAGAACAAAATACATTTTCCTCATCTTGATGGATCCAAACTTGGTCCCCACACATCACCATTGATCAAAGGTATAAAAATATGAGGAATTTACGAAAGAAAAGGCAATTTATGAGATTTTGCAGTATAATAATTATGACAAACAAAACTCAAGATTGTGTTTTTCCCATAAAATTTGTTCATAAGACTGTTAAAAGAAAATAAGATACCTAGCTTATGATTCTTTGACTTCATTTAAGTGACAATGTCATACATCCAATCTTCATTCGCACTCTTAATATCATCATATGTTCAAGTGCATACTTGGGAGTAGATTTAGTCGATGGGAAATCAAAGGAGAAAACTGTCCATGTTTGCGTCACTGTTTAACTGCCTTTTCCCATTCTAAGATCCTGGACTAAGCAACCAGGGGAGTGAAATTAGGTAATGCTGTTATTATCAACAAGTTGTGACACAAATCTCAAAGTAAGTTTAGGAACATGAATAGTTTTCAGTAAGGAGTGGTGATAGGAATCTAAACGGAAAATGGATATAAATCCAAATAATAGA